TGTATGTATGTATGTATGTATCATGTATGTACACGGATCTGGTTGTCATCCATGAAAACTAGCTGTCATCGATCTATTTATCTATCTATCTATCTGTCTACCTACCTACCTCCCTCCCTTCCTGCCTTGCCTGTCTGTCTGTCTGTCTATCTGTCTATCATCCATACAAGACAACACATGCACGATTATGTGTGTACGTAGTACGTTACGGCACTCATCCCGGCTGAGGTGGGGGCTGCGGCCTTGGCGCAGGCTTCCTCTGCAGGGCGTAATTTAGTCAGTGGTCTGGGTTGCCGGTGCAGCTACAGGGCAATCGCTTGTGGATTTCATCACTTGACAGGAAAAGCAGGCGCACCCATGCCGGGTGGTTGTGCAGGCTTGCCAGACGGCATCAAGTCCGGTGTGGTCAAGTGCCTCGTCTCAGCTTAACATGCAGTGAAGACCGTATGTTTCCCGTGGAATTGTGTCTCATCGGCAGACTGCTGAGGTTCTTCCATGATGAGAAAGGTTTCGGGTTCATCAAGCAGGATGATGGTGGCAATGACCTCTTCGTCCATCGTGGCTTATCTTCCATGGTGCTGTTTGAGCCTTGAGAAGTCTGTGGAGATTAGCAAAGCATGTCCGATGAGGCAACGATGTGATCGACACCCTGCTGAATGAGGGGGATCATGTGCAGTACAGCGAGGCCGTTGACAACAGAAGCGGGCGAATGAAGGCGCACCAGGTCACTGGTGGCACAGGTGCACCAAAGCCCCCTCAGGAGAAAGGCGCAGGAAAGGGCGGCAAGGGTAAGAAGGGAGGCAAAAGAAGTGCGCCTAACGAGCCAAGCCTTCCCAATCCTGGCATGGCTATGCCAGACCTCCCTTCACAAGACACGGCGTTGTCACAGAAGATGACTGGCAACCTGAATGCACTCCAAGATGCCGCAGCGATGATCGGAGGCTGCAATCCCAACTTTCTTATGGGCAAGGGGGGTTTCCCTGCAGGCGCCTGCGGCTGTCCTTGCGGTGGCTGTGGTGATGCTCAGAAGATGGGCTGTGCTTGCGGAGGTTGCGGCTGTGGTGGGCTCTGCGGAGGCTGCGGGTGTGGAGGTTGCGGGGGTTGCGGAGGTGGCTGTGGGGGCTGTGGATGTGGAGGCGGCTGCGGAGGTTGTGGTGGCTGCGGCCAGTGCATGGGAGGTTGTGGCGGCAACTGCGGTAGCCTGCAGATGAGCGGGAACAGCTGCAACGCCGGCGGCTGCGGCGGATGTGGCTGCAGTAGCGGGAATGCATGCAACGCTTGCAACCCAGGAAGTGCCCCGCGGCCGCATGAAGAACGACACAGATCATAGCTCCACTTCGTTCAGGGTCAAGAACTTGTTGTAGGGGGGGCAATGCTGCAATGCTGGCCTGCCACGCCGGGTCATGGGAAGTGATGTTGACTTGGGTGAAGCATAAAAAATCAACAAACCAAATCTGAGGCTGGCAACTGCAACATGCCGAGCAGCTGCTGTGGCTGTGGAGGTTGCAGTGGTTGCACCGGCTGCGGCTGCGGCTGTGGTTGTAACGCCGGCTGCTGCGGCTGCGGAGGCTTGGAACAGTTCTGCTTACCACGCATTTTTTGGCATCTGCCATCATCTGCCACTCGCCAGGCTGCGTTCCCAACTTCAACGCATGTGGCGGATGCTCCGCCGGGGGCACCGCGGGTCTCGGAGCATGTGCTGCTCTCGCACCGAGCAACTTCGAGGACGGGGCCTGTGTAAGAGAGTCTGAGCTTTCGGCAATCTAGTATATTATGTATAATATTATATAGTACTATATACTATATAATATACTATATTGTATATAATATAATATATTATATAATATATTATATTGTTATATAATGGCCTTCTTTCAACTCTCCAACTGTTTCCGCAGGAAGACTTCGATGCCTCGAGTGCTTGGGCAGCAATCTACTCCGCACCCGAAGCCTTAAAGCATGATGCTTGAGCGCGGGTGATGCCGTGTCATGTTGGCCCACGGCGCCCAGGCATGAACATGTGCCGCGGGGGAGGCTTCAGTGGCCTGAGTGCCGCCAGTCCGAGCCCAACCCCTTGCATCTTCGCCATCTATGGAATCTATGGGGCTTGAGGTTAGGGCCAGGGCTTGCCATTTCTCGATCTTTTTTGTTTCATGGTCTTACCGGGCTTTGTTAGGGTACTTCATGGTTTGGGTGATTTCGTGTAGCGTTGTAACAAAGCAGAAAGTTCATGCTGCGGCTGCATATCCGAGGTAGTGGAGGCGGCTGCAGCACGGGGCCATGTGGCGGTGTGGGGCCATGCAGCACGAACTGGGAGGCTTGGGATGCCTTGAGATAGCCTTAAGAGCTTGAGATTCTGAGCCCGCAGAGCTGAGGGGAACCTCCAAGGGAAGGCGGCTATGGCACCCTTCCCAGGCCGGGTCGAGAAGTCAGCTGCACGTGGTGGGAGGCAGGGAGGGGGACAAACGGCTCAGGTCAGGACCCGCAGCTGAACAGCGCTTGTTTCGCTCAGCTGATGAACGTGGCAAACCTCAGCGGCATTGCGCCCAATCCGAACCCAAGCTCCGGCGAGAGGCCGGGGCACATGGTGATGGTGTCCGTGCGCGTCGTGTCCTGCGATGTCTGACACAGGTTTCCCACCGGAGCACCAGGTGGAGGCTGGGAGGGAAGCGTGACGACAGGATCTTTCGGATGTGTCGGTCACGGTCCATGGGAAAGTCTCTGCTCTGCTCTTTGTGATCTCATGGACTTGAAGGCTCAATGGCCGGATCGTTCATGCAGGGTGGAGGCGAGAACAACATTCCAGGTGCGAGACCTCCGGCATGCGCTGAGCCCTGAATCCTAAAGCCGCGCGCGCGCCCTTGCTCTTCGCCCTCTGTGTCAGGCCCCTGCTTCGGCAACAACGCGGGATCTGGTGGAAATCTGAATGCTGCAGTTTATGAAAGGCCGGCCGGGTTTTTCTAAACACCCTCTGTGTATGAAAGGCCGGCTACCTGCTGGGCAGTTTCTTTGAACGCTCACTGAAGTACGTTTGGATCCGGAATTTCTACCCCGCAAGTCCAAAAACATATTGTATTTGCCGTCCATGCCGAGTTTGTTTGTCGCGATTGATTTGTTCTGAGTGCATCGATACGGCGTTTGCAAAAACCCAGACGAAAACACTATACTCTCAGAATCCCTATGCAGAACTATTAAAAAGAAGAAGCCCTTTCCCATTGCGTGATACGGCCCATTGAGACCGGCGCCAAGTTCTTTGTAAGAGTTGACAAAATGCCCGTAAAGACCAACTTAGCCCTTATGAACCCTGCTTAGAAGCCTTGTGGAGCCCAAGAACCCTTTTACCACCTCCCCTTAGAGGGACCAGCAAGCAGGTTATTCGTGTTGCTATAAGTACCCTCCTTGGGGGCTTGAATGCTTATAGCCGTAGTTAAGACTCGAGCCCTTAGCGAACCCTTCTGATAGACCCCTTATACACCCTATAAAACCCTGCTTGCTAAGTCTCCCGATCCTCTAAGACTCTAAGTACCCTCAAAAACCCCGAAAGCCCTTGGAAACACCCTAAACCCGAAACCCGAAAAGAAACCCGACCAAGCACCGGACCCCCCAAAATCCTTAATACACCCTAACCCCAATGAGGATCCCTTGTTTGGGGTACTTATGACTTATAACTCTACTTGATATCTACTTACTAAGTCCCCCGACCCTAAACCCTAAACCCCAAAACCCTAAACCCTTAAACCCCTAAAACCCTAAAGCCCTAAACCCCTAAAACCCCTAAACCCCTAAAGCCCTAAGTCCCCTAAAACCCCTAAGTCCCCTAAACCCTAAACCCTAAACTCTAAGCCCTAAACCTTAAACCCCAAACCCTAAAACCCCTAAGTCCCCTAAGCCCCAAAACCCTAAAAAAATGGGACCTGCCCGCGGCAGGCTAGCCTCGGCTACAGGCGGTGGTGGAGGCCAGGCTTCAGGCGCGTAGGGTTTAGGGTTTAGGGTTTAGGGTTCAGGGGAACTGAGGGCTTTAGTTAGGGGTGGCTTTTTCTGGGTTTTTGGAAGCTGGATTTTTGGGGGGTTTCCTTGGATTTTTAGGGGGTTTCATTGGGTTTTTAGGGGTTTCATTGGGTTTCCGTGGTTTTTTGAATGGGTTTTAGCTTTGACTGGGTTTAAGGTTGATTGGTTGGGGCGGTGGGGTCGAAGGTGTGTTTGGGTTCTCGGCGCTCAGGGCTTCGTGTTTGGGGAACCATCCAAGAGAGACAGAAGCAATCTAAGCTTACAGCCTGTTGTTGTTTTTCGCCAGGAGGCTTTGAAGACTACGCGTACGGTGGCCAAGGTGCGGGGTGTTGGCAGTAGCTATAGTCAGTGATGGGGCGGTGCATCACGAGCTCACTGACCTTGACTCCCTAAACCCTAAACCCTAAAACCCTAAACCCTAAACACTAAACACTAAACCCTAAACCGGGTGCATGTTTCTGCACACACTTTGAGCCGACGCTTGCAGGATCAAACAACCTTGCGGCAGCTCGAGCTGCTGGTTGCTTTTCAAACTTGGCAGGCGGATGCGCGGATGCCTGTGCCACTTCCATGGGATAAGCAGGGCATTGCCAGGAGTTGACACAGAAAGCGTCGGAAGATGTCGGAAGAGCAACGATCTCTTCTTGGAACTTGCATAGAAAACAGCGCCGACTCCGGGCAAGCATGCCGCAAAATCGTGTGATGCCGAAACCCTGGGCCCGGTGTCACATTCCACGGTGCAAATAATTTGAAGTCTGGGTTATGTCGTATATAGTATTTGGTACATGTCGTCGCTGGCAGCACTGAGGAGAACGCAACGTAGCTTGCCGGTGCACAACCGAGATAGATGCGAATGCTCATGAATGCTTTGATAACAGTGCCTGCATCTGCAGGTCCATGCCCAAACCATGGGTGAGTCGGGCGAGCCATTCTTTGTGCGGGATGCCATCAAGGGCACCTCCCCAAGAACTGTTTATGACAGATCGAGCGTATTTGACCCGTATTTGGCCGTGCCTTCTTCTGAGACAGAAGATGGCTCGGCGGAGGCGCAACCATGTTGACTGGCACATAAAGAACGAGTTGAAAGGCCTGGCCGGCAGATGGCTATCTTACTGTAGGACTTTGCCTGCTGACACCACTTTGAAGCGAGAAACCACGACGCTTGCATGGGGCTCAACCTACAGGAGCTTCAGTACCACGTCTCAAAGCTGTCATAAGGTGGTGTTGCAGCTGGGTCCGGAATTGTGCGGCGGGCTGTGTGTTTGCAGGATTTCCCCACTCTTATTTCCTTCGTCTTATTGTATCAAGCGACTTCCGGCTTTGAGCAATCGGAAGCGCCATTCCACGCAATCAGAGTTCAGACAATACCCTCGACGTTTTGCAGATGTGTGTTTGGCAGCATCGAGGGCTGTGGCAACACTTTGGAGCTATGCAGCACTCCGGATGTCGACAAGTTTTAGAGGATTTCATAGTGCTAGCGAGGCTAAGATGGATAGGCTGGACAGTGAATGGCTTCCGAGAATGCAAGAATGCCTGGATGTAGGTAGGCGCTCTGTGCGTCAGCCTAAGCATATGTCATGCTAGCAAGCATTTTAGTCAGTTTGTTGAGCGCTTGGTTGGCACGGATCAACTTACTTCTGATTGCTGGTATTGTAGTTGACTAGAGTGTGACAAGTCTCTATTTGACTTATGGCTATTGGAAAGGTGCAGACGTCACACAAGGATCTCAACGTGACTTACCCCTGAACCACAGTAAAAACCATACGGAGACCCTTTTGGGAACCGCATGGCCCTACACACTTAAATCTACCATGGGTCTTCAACTGGTCCGTTGGAGGCACCGGGAGTGGCTGCTAGTGCTTTCAGGATTGGAATGCTCCTACCACAGAGTTTTGATTTCCTATGATGAGCTCCCTACGGCCGCAGTTTTTCCAGACTTGTGGAGCCATGAACTCGCTAGGCAACCATTCCAAGCTGGCCGTTTGGAACTGTGCGGAGTTTGAAGTATTCTGGTACTGCGCGAGGCAGGAAACATCCGATGAATTTGGTTCTGCGATCGAAAAGAAACTGACCTTGCTTGGTTTTTTGCCATATCAGGGAGAGACACGGATATAGTCCCAGAAATCTGCACCCCACGGCCGGCTGTTTGCGCTTTGAACACTCGAGCTATCGTGAAGACCATGATGTGCACATGTCACATTACAGTATCGAGTGAGCAGACAGTGCTTACGGCATTTCAGTCTGGGCCCAACCAAACTTGGGCAGTTCGGACAGACATCAGTATGAAATGTTGCATGCTTTTAGGCATTGAGCATGCAGGTGTCAATACCGTGCCATGCAATGACCAGCCCAGCGAGGGCTGTCGGTACGACGCATCCGCCAACTCCGCTGAAACCAAGTTCTGGCCTTGCACTCAGCCCGGAGAGTCACTGAGCATCACTGAGCTGCTTGCGTCGTGCGAGCGAGGCCTTGGACTGAAGCTGGCCTGTGGGGGCACGATGGCCATGGGCTTGGCCCTGCTGCGGCGCAGCGTCTCCAAGCAGCGGCGTGTTCCTGTGCCGCGATTCGTCGCGACCCGTGCATGGCAGCAGCCACTCTCCGGGAAGTTGCCCGAGCCACTTCGTGCCACAGACGGTCGCCAAGCATGAAGGGAGGGGCAGGGCCGGCAGGGCCGGGCAGGGTAGTCATGAAGTTGTGATAACCTTCACCGTCCCTTCTTTGGATCAGGTCGCAAGCCTGGCGCTGCGCCAGAGGACGTCTTCACGCTTGACACAATCACTCAACGCATGCCCAAGATTATCCAGTCAACCGTTGCAGCGATGCCGTCGGCACTGAAAACCAGCGACTTTGAGCAGAATGTCAAGGCGCTGCAGGATGAGATGAAGGAAGGAGCTCAGCTACGACTTCTAAGAGGTGACAGCCCACGGGTTGGAGCAGATAGATGGAACGAGCATCTTACGGAATTCATTGATCGTGGAGAAGGCTGGCATACGGCGCCCTGGTGGGTGGTGGAGAACTACATGTATAAACGGCTGCTTGAGGACTCCATGCCGTGTGGCTGCATGCTGAGCGTCGTGTATCCGTTTGCATCTGTCTGCCTGGCTTGCTGTCTGTCTCACTGTCTCATGGGAAGATTCTGCAGCTTTATCTTGGCTGAAGAAGGCCCCCCGCCATGCAGAGTTGTGAATGTCCGGTTCAAATCATGCATACAATGTAGTAGCAGCTCAATAGCTCTATCCTCACAGAACAGTGTAAGCTGACGGCAAGTCAGATGATGGACCGCAACCAGCAGAGTTTCTTGTCAAGCTTTCCCAGCATCATGGAGCCAAGCCTTGCGATTCCGGGAAGAGGAGTTGAGCATCCGCGTTTGAAGCAGGTGCCGGGAAAGCTGCACAGGGCTGTGTCGGATGGGACGCGCCCTGCAGCGTGGACTCCGAAGCCTAGGTTGGCGTTTTTGGCAGCTGGCTGGCTGGCATGCCGTTGCTTCCAGAAGCCTCGACAAAGACCTTGTGTGACGAGGTGGAACCCTGCAATGGCGGCTTCCATGCCGGCAAGCAAGCCAGCTAAGGCCAGCATAGCAGATCGGATCTTCGGGCTGTTTTCCTGCACGAAAAGGGCCCTTCAGCTGGTTTGGCTGACCAGCCGCCCCTTGACCTTCGGCTTGGCCTTCCTGACGCTGGTCATGGGGGCCTTGCCTGGGCTGCGAGCTGCTACCACCAAAAGGGTCATCGACGCCGTGGTCTCCGGCATCTCTTCGGGGAGCCACGCGGATGCGGTGCTGTGGCTTTCGGTGGAAGCCGCTTTGGTGGTGTCCCTGGCTGCCACTCGGAGAGCCCAGGAAGTCGCCGAGTCTTTCCTGGGCACTCTTTTGGGGCACCGGGTGAATGTAATGATCCTGGAGAAAGCCCTGGAGCTCCAGCTCACGGACTTCGAAGACTCGAAGCTCTACGACAAGCTTACACGGGCTCGCAGGGAGGCCAGTCGCCGTCCGCTATCCTTGGCACAGCAGTCCTTGAGCCTTATCCGAAACGGTTTGGCACTGCTTGGGTATGGTACCCTTCTGCTGAGATTCTCTCCCCTTGCTGTCGCTGTGCTGCTCCTGACGGCGGTGCCGCCTTTCATTGCCGGCGTGAAGTTCGCAGGGGACGCCTTTCAGCTGGCCCGGCGGCAGACCTCGGGATTCCGCGAGCAGATCTACCTGGAGAGGCCCTAAACCATAAACCCTAAACCGTAAACCCCTAGACCCCTAAACCCTAAACCCCTAAAGCCCTAAACCCTAAACCCCCAAGGGTCATGGCCATGGATACGCCGGCCAAGGAGGTGAAGCTCTTTGGCCTGGGTCCCTGGCTCTTGAGGCGCTACTGCCAGATTCTGGGCTCTTCTTAAGGAGTTGAGTTCTAGCTACCATCATGAGGGGATCTATAGTAGTAAATACCATGCTTTCTTCATTATGGTAGCTTTCAAGAACTTTTAGCAAGAACCCAGGATTTTTGATGGCTTCTTTCGAGACACCTCCAGCTTGGCCCTGAAGCAGGGGGGTTTTGGCTTCATCTTGGAGCTGATCAGCACCGGAGGCTTATACATGGCCTTTGCCTGGGTGGCGATTGCGGCAGTGAGGCAGACATGATTTAGCCTAAACCCTAAACCCCTAAGATCCCCAAGACCCCTGAACCCTAAACCCCTGACTCCTAAACTAAGCCCTAAACTCCTAAACCCTATAGGCAGACGATCAGCTTGGGAGACATGACGATGTACCTGCTTATCTTCAAGGAAGGCCAGCAGGCCTTTTCGGCCATCTTACGGTCCATCGGAGGCATGTACGCAGACAACCTCTATCTCTCCAACCTCTACGAGTTCCTGGATTACAAGGTCCAGAAGAGCGAAGGCACCAAGGAGTCGGGCCCGAATCCGGGAGATGGTGTGCGCTTTGAGGACGTCTGGTTTCGATACCCTGGCGCCACAGACGACACCATCAAAGGCGTGACGTTTCACATTCCACCCGGCACCCGCTTTGCCCTAGTTGGGAACAACGGTGCAGGAAAGACGACGCTGATCAAGCTTCTGACAGGCCTCTACCAGCCAAGCAAAGGCAAGATCCTGCTCGACGGATTGGACCTGAACGACTGGGCTCCGGACGCATTGAAAAAGCGAATAGGTGCCATCTTTCAGGACTTCATACGCTATGAACTCACCGTTGGAGCAAATGTAGGTGTGGGAGACATCGACGCAGTCGACGAGGAGTCCCGTGTCGCCCGGGCAGCTGAACGTGGGATGGCAGCGCCCTTCATCGAAGACTGGCCTGAGAAGTACCAGACACAGCTCGGGAACCTCTTCATGCGCGGTCGTGAGCTCAGTGGTGGGCAGTGGCAGAAAGTGGCCTTGAGTCGAGCACTCATGCGGGAAAGGGCTGACCTCTTAGTCCTAGATGAGCCAACTGCGGCGATGGACGCGGAGGCAGAAGCCGCGATTTTTGAGCGCTTGGCATCGCTGTCAGACGATCAGAGTGCCCTGCTCATCAGCCATCGGTTTTCGACTGTTCGCATGGCCGACACCATTGCGGTCTTGAACCATGGTGTGATCGAGGAGTTTGGCAGTCACGAAGACCTCTTGGCGCTGGGAGGCACCTATGCGAGACTCTTTAACTTGCAAGCCAAAGGATACCAATAGCAGGTGCTTCTTGCAATATTGCGAGACAAGTTCTCTGGGCCGGCACAGATGCTCCAACAAGGCTGGTTGTTCACACGGTCCTTATTGAATCATACTATCGATATATCGACAGAAGAGATGCCTGAAAAGATTCCAGAGTTGGAAGAGTCCCTGAAGTAGCAAAGGCATGCTTCAGGAAGGCAGGCCAAAGAACTCGAAAAAGGCGTTGCCAAGCCTGCCTGTGGAAGATACGCCGATACGCCTCATCAGGGTGCTTTCCGGATGTAGTATTGTTGAATCCATGAGCTCCAACCCCCATTTTAACCACTGAGCTGAAGTTCATTGGATTTGTGCTTTCGATTTTCTGCATGACCACTCATAAGACACTCAAAGCACCCAGCTATTGCCCCAAACCCTATACTATTTTGGGGGCTCCTTATTGTAATGATAGTATACTGTACCCCAAAACCCAATTCTTATCTTAAGCCCGGCCTTCTTGGCCCCTCTCGCGCGAGGAAATGGACCGTTGCGGCTCTGAGGCGGCCTCTTATGACCCTTTCGAGGCCGTGAAACTGGAGGCACCAGCTCCACACGTCCCGAGACACGTAGAGACATAAACTCTCTCTCTCTCTCTTTATCTCTCTCTCTCTCCCTCCTATGTTCAGATGTTTTTGTCAATGTACAAATAGACACATATAGAATCTACAGAACATAAACAGTCAACACATGTATGTATGTATGTATGTATGTATGTATGTATGTATGTATGCATGCATGTATGTATGTATGTATGCATGTATGTATGTATGTATGTATGCATGCATGCCTAATGCATGCAGACACACACGCACGCACAGATCCAAACGTAAGTACATCTCTGTCCCTCTCTCCCTCTCCCTCCCTCGTCCCCCCGCTCCCCTCCCTCCTTCCCTCCCTCCCTCCCTCCCTTCCTCCCTCCCTATGTGTCTGCGCATTTGCGCATGTACATTTGTATCAGAAAAAGACCTTCAAACGACACAATTCCTGGCAAAGCTACCTGCTGGTCAGGGTTCTCTTCAGGCCTTGGAGCAATCCGCAGAGCCCCTGGAGTCTTCCTTGCAGCCGCTGGTGAAGCTGACAGCAGAGGCCGGGAGCCTCCACGCTAAACACGCTGGGAAGCCTTGTTGCAATGCTCATCAAGCTCCCTAAACCCTAAACCCTAAACCCTAAACCCTAAACCCTAAACCCTAAGCTCCAGAGCCCCAGGTGCAGGATCCCTCTCTTCTCTTAAAGGCCCAGCAGACTCCGAAACCCCCAGGATCATGAGACCTAGGAACTGGGGTAAAAACGAAGTAACTAGAGTTCATGAGACCTAGTAACTGGGCTTATAAACGAAGTAACTAGAGTTCTGAATTGCTTATAGAACTCCAAGCCCAAAACCCTGAACCCTAAACCCTTTTCTCCCTGAAAGAAGTAACTAGAGTTCTGAATTACTTCTAGAATCACTAAGCCCAAAGCCCTGAGCCCTAAACCCTCTTTTCCCTGAAAGAAGTAACTGGAGTTCTAAATTACTTCTAGACCTACTAAGCCCAAAGCCCTGAACCCTAAACCCTCTTTTCCCTGAAAGAAGTAACTAGAGTTCTGCATTACTTATAGACCTACTAAACTTAAAGCCCCGAACCCTAAACTTTAACCCTCTTTTCCCTGAAAAATTATCGAACTCCAAGCCCAAAACTCTAAACCCTAAACCCTCTTTTCCCTAGAACTCCTAAGCCCTAAACCCTCTGAATCCTAAATTCAAACCCTAAACCCTAAACCCTAAACCCTAAACCCCTTTTTTCCCTGAGGCCTCGGAGGAGGCCCCCGGGTCTCCGGCCCGGCGGGAGGCTCTGGAAGCCTCGCTGCTGCGGTCGCTCTGGGGGAACCAGGCGAGGCCTTGGGGGCCGGGGGCCCTTTAAAGGGGGCTCCGGTAGGGTCTCTGGAGCTTCTCTATAGGGCTCGGGGAGTTTGGGGTGTCGGAGTACTGGCAGGAATTTTCCTGATAAGGCTGTTGCTATCTTTTTTTTTGGCTTTTGTTGGGCCTGAAGAGGCGGACCTCTCGCTGAGCGCCGGCGAAGTCACTTCGGTGAGTGGAGGGCAGCTGGAGAACCTCGTGTCGGATCATCGCAGCGAGGCCCTCGACTTGCTGTTGGCCTCTAAAAAGGTGGTGGTTGTGATGGATAACTACGGCTTGGAGGTCCTTTGCGATTTGGTTCTCGTGGATGCGATCCTCTCCCTAACCGACTCCACGGTATCATTGCATGTGAAAGATGCCCCAGTCTTCGTGTCGGACGTGACAGACAAGGACGTTCCCAAGGTTCTGAAGTGGCTCGAGACTCGACTGCCGGAATTGGCTGAGCGTTTGAACGTACACTTGGGAACTGGGCGGCTGAAGGCGGAAGCCCACAGCTACTACACAACGGCCCGGTCATTTTGGGAAGTACCTGCAGAGCTGCAGTCCGACTTCTCCGACGCGGCCGTCGTGTTGAAAGGGGATGCCAACTTCCGACGACTCTTGGGTGATCTCCACTGGCCGTACGACACCGACTTCGCCGAGTATGCCCGAAGTTTTTGGCAGGGATCAGGTCTGATCTGTCTGCGGACGATGAAGAGTGGCGTCGCTATTGGTATTCCAGACAGCGAGCAGCAACGGGCACAGGAGGCTCGAAAGGACGACTGGTTGACTTCCGGCGTTTTCGGACAGGTATTGACCTTCGACCGTGGCGCCGCCTAAGGGCCTAAGCCCTGAGCGCATCTCGATTTTCCTTTATTGCTTCACTGCTCTGAGGTCTTTGCTTCCTCGATAACCCCAAAACGAAAAGATGACAATGACGATAAGAGATGCCAGCAAGCCCAATGCATCTGACCACATCAAACGCTTCTATTTTTAGAACAAAAGCCCTTCGTCCTGCCAGTTGCCATGTTATCGAGAGTGCACAGGCTGAATTGAAGGATTCTGCATTCAAGCGACAGCTCCACGGCAAACACGGCCCGTCCTATGGTACTCAGCAAATGCAAAGCTTGCTGCAGATTTTCAGATATAGAGTTGCTTAGTTGCAGCTGTGTTTCTGCCGCAGTATCTGGCCCTAGCTCTTGGGGAAGAAGCTTGGGCAATACCTGCTGCTTGAAGGGTCGCGGCTCTCGATGGACAGGACCCTGAGACCGATCACTCACCTGTCTGCGGAACTCGGCCACTGCACTGGATCCCACCTCAAGTTTGTCAGATGCTTCTTTTCGTGTGCAGAGGATCACGTGCAGTCGTTGTCTGTCATTGTTATGGCGGCAACGCCGTCAGTTGCACAAACAAAGCGCGCCTGTGGCGTTTGCCGTGCTTTGGCCCGCACCCAAACCTAAAGGACTGCGCCACTTGCTCCTAGGCCTGGCAAATGGCAACAGGTAAGCTGTAAGCCACTGTAAGCCCTGAAGCCTCCACAGTTGAGATTTTTCCCAGCATCTTGAAGGACAAAGATGCGCCTCCTGACGCTGGTGATCGTAGCGGTACGGCCCCCACCTTGCATCGTGGCTGTGGCTCTAGGTGATCATGCAAGGTTCCGGACTTAGCATCAGAGACTTGCATGTGGGGCTTGGCATGGCCTTTAAAGGTCAACAGGAAGACTACAAGCACGCATGACTTCTTGCTTTTCCCTGCTCAAGTTAATTGGCATGTCAAGTGTAAGTAGAGGGCTTGCATGGTGTGGGCCTGTCAGCCGATGACCATGCAGCTGCCTGCGACAAAAGCGCCCTTCACTGCTGGTTGGCAAGTTGCCCTCCTCATCCTCCTGTGGATGCAGACCTCACCGGCGCAAGTGAACATACAGTTTGGAAGCTACACTGAGGCGCAAGAGCTGCAATGTGTCCTGCAGAGCGGAGATGCTGAAGATCCACTAATGGGCATTGAGCTACTCACACTCAGGAACGACCGGGCAGGGCTGCCTTTCTACCTAGCTAGAGGAAAGTTTCTCTCTGACGATGTTAATTTCAGCCGCATTGGCAGCTTCGAGTTTGCGAGGGTACGAACTGGGAGCATGGCAGTGAATCCAGTGACAAGCGTGTTTGCAGTAATTTCTTCGCAGACGTTGTATGTGTTGGACACAGAGACCGGGGCAGACGTCCAGACTTTGGACGTCAGCGGATTTGGCAACCTTGGAAACCTTGAGTTCGACCTGAAAACCCAGAAGATGTATGGCCAGTACTGGGACGGGGAACAAGAACACTTCGTGGAAGTGGATTATGAGCGAAACACTACGCAAAAAATTGCCACAATCAATCTGCGATCCAAGATGGCCTCGACTCGTGCAATTGACTACATCGCAGGCCGCTTCTACCTTGTTGCTGATAATCAGCAGCTTGTTGGCCTAAGCCTTGAAACAGGGGAGGAGGTTACTCGGAACACTTTGTCACGGTCTATCGGAAATGGTGGGATCTTCTTCGACGGGGCGACTCAAAAACTACGTGCCCTCTGCAGAGCGTTCGATGATTCCTCCGACTTCGCTCTCTGCATCGTTGACCCCAGCACTGGAGAAGTATCAGCGACTTCTGATGATGCTGAGCGGATCTCTGCGGTTGCCATGGCCGACAATGCCTACGACTCTGCGAACCAGGTTTATTTCTTCACAGAGCCAGCCGGGCTTGTCGCTTTCAACGCGAACACTGGGAAGCGAATTGCAGGACCATATACGTCCGCAAATGCAGCCTCGCTAACTGTAATCCCCAGGTGCGAGTGCTGTGTTGTTGCGGACAGGGACAATAGTTCCAACACTGTTGCGGACCTGGCCAATGGCTCAAACACTGGGCGGCAGCTTCAGCACAGCTCTGGCAGCTTCGCTGCATGTAATGAGAACACCATAGTCTCAGGGACGAGCCGTCCTGAGCAGCAGAAGCTCGGCGTCCTTGCCGTGCTTGGCTCATTGGCACTACTTGACCTAGGCTAGTCCTTCGAGGCTGCGCGGGCTCAACAAAAACACTTGGCGTGCGAAGTTACGTGGCTATGTCTCAAACTCATCCCCTAAGAACCCTGATCGTTTTTGCTGTGGCTCTGTTCTTCCTAGCATTGCTGCGGGGAACAAGGGACCAACATCTATTGGCCTTCAGCCACATTCACAGCCATTGAAGTCATTGAAGTGGAAGGTGGCAGCACAAGAAGATGCACCCCCGGCAACTTCCGAGGCAGGTCTTGAAACGTACCGCAACTCTACGTCGCTACGTAGGGCCCCCCGCCCCAAAGAGTCCTCAAGAGGCGAAGACAAGAAGGCCTATCATCTCGACGGATATTCTCCACGGCACTGCGGAGCTCTTCTACGACGTCTATGCCGGGGGCTTCAGGGAAGTGAACCTGTAGCCCTGTACCCAGCTGCTCTCTGGCTCAGTCTGACTCTGAAATAACCTTCGCAAGCCACGGCACCCTTTTTTGTATGAAGTCCTATGCCTTTGACTTGTAGCCTTTAGCCCGATGGCCCCTGCCTTCCAGGACTCTTTGCACAGCAAGTTCTTGAAGGCACACATCGACAAGCCTTGAACTTGGCAGGAGTACGCACGTCTTCAGACACTAATCTTGGTTGTAATGTCTCGCTGATCTTCTTTGTGCCATTGGCTTTTGCTCGTTTGTACGAAGAGTGGTAGCACTTATCAGCGCAGCTTCCACTACTCTGCTGCCGTCTTTTCAGTATCCAGGAGTTCACGTTGGTGACGGTGGTTTTGATGGCATGGTTGAACATGATGCTACAGCTGCAGCTGCTGCTGCTGCTGCTGCTGCTGCTGCTGCTGATTCTGATGATGATGATGATGACGATCTTCAAAACGACACTGTTTATGATCGAGATGGTGGTGGCGGCTGGGTGGTCTATCTCTCGGAAAGCCATGCATTACTGCCATAGGTACCAAGATTCGCGTGCTCAGCAACATCGCTGGAGTTGAAGTGGGTTAGGTGTGTGTAATTTTGATTTTCAGTGTTTCGCCGAGGCACTCGGCAACGCTGTCTGCCAGCGTGTCGGGAATTTTGCCGGATGATCCTATTGTCGCGGGTTCCCCAGTTTTGGGTGCAAAACTTGTTGCTGGTGGTCTCTACGTGCTTCGCAGTATCCCTGCAGAGACGCAGTCAGCGTTTCGCCTGGGTGTTGCGATGTGTTTTTCAAGATGACTGAGTCACTCGGCGAATGCAAGTGAACCACAGAGCTCAGGAAGTGTGCAAGAAGCTTCAATGCGACGCTAGCCAGGTCGGGGCTTCCGTGTCTCAGAGCTCCCAGCAGTCCATGTAAGACTGGCAGGTCAAAGACGTTCACAAGACGACGCAGGACCTGCCAGATCGAACAGTGCGTAATTGCGGTTACAGTAGACTTGTAAAAAGGAACCCTAAAAAATAGTGTTGATCAGTACTTAGGACCCTTTATTATCTAAGTCAGGGTCCCTATTTGGTAGATGGGTGTCAGTTGCAAGCTGCCGTCAACTCGGTTTCGCCCTCTAGTTTGCAGTTTCAGCGGGCCTGTCCATGTAAGTTAAACGGCTTGAGCGAGCCCGACCCTATACGTGGACCCTAAGCCTAAGCTCCAAACTGCCCGAAACCAGGCCCCACGACCCTAAATCCTGAACCCTAGGATCCAAGCACCAAAACTCGAAACCGACGACCTTTCCCTGTCCAGGATCACAGAATCTGAGGCTGATCACACCAAAAAGCCAGTTCCGAATGGAATCCCATCGTCTCCCAACGCAAAAGAACTGTTAAAGAAACTCCCAAAGCTCCGAACCCCAAACTCTGATTTCCTACAAGCTCCAAGCCGCATGCCTTAAGCCAGTAGCTTCTCCAGTGGTGCACCCGAAACTGGCCCCGAATCCTAGACGCTTACATGCTCTAAACCTTACGCAGCCCAAAAGCTTCAAAGCTCAAAGCCCAACCACCCCCCATATCTAAAAGCTCCTAAGCCCCTTAGCCCCGAAACCCTAAGCCCTAAACCCTAAGCCCTAAGCCCCAAACCCTAAACCCTAAGCCCTAAACCCTAAAGCCCTAAACCCCGAAGCCACAAACCCTTTGAGTCCTTGGAGGAGAAAGCTCTGGAGGCCTGGGAGGCTGTGAAGCTGAAGTCTACCGAGCTGCAACAGCCCCTCTCTCGGTGTGCACTGCGACCAGAAGGTTACACAGGTATATATATATATATACATATATATATACATACATACATATGTATACATGTACATCTATACATACATATATAGATAGACATGTATTCATATATATATATATATACACGAACAAACAGTTTTTTAATTCTAGTCCACCGGCAGTTTTGATTTTAAGTAGATGTTTGCTTGTATACTTGGATGAAGGCTTTCTGTTTCAGTACTGTCTTAACAATGGCTTAGGGGGCATAGGATTGTGCGGTTCAGGGTTGCGAGTCTGGCGTTTTGGGTGCCAAGGGTTTCAGGCGTACTTAGAGGTTCAGATATCAGCAGGGCTTGTGTACGCATCTTAGCTGGAGCCGCCAACGATCACTGGTTGTAACTACGCAGAAAAGTTCTTCTGCGGCCCTGTGCCTTCCTGAGCCCGAGATTCCCCTTCATGCAGTTTTAGATTTGAGCAGCAAACGCTGAACCGCAAACCCGAGAAGCCCGAGACCCGCCACCGGAAACCCATCAGGTTTGGCTGAAGGATAGCTAGCAGAGCCATGGCTGCGCAACGTCGCGGTGGCGGATTGCTCTGGGCTGCTTTGCTGAGCGGGCTCGCCCTCAATGTGCTCGACCTAAGGACGCCTGGCTCTGAAAGCTCGTGCCAGAAACTCCACATGTAACAGGAGGGTTTCACAACCTAAAACCCACCCAACTTAGGATAGTACTCCAAATTTGGTCCAAATGCACCTCAGCAGCTGTCAGCAGCGAAGCCGGTTCTGTGGAAGCTCTATCTCTAGATCGGGGATAATTAAGCAAGACCGGGCAGCAGACAAAGTGGCACTTGGCAAGTTGTGACCTGTGACAGACGCCCTGCCTTCCTGGCGGTGGAGACGCACCAGAAGCCGGTGCAATCCCGTCGCAGCTTCGCCTGGGCAGTTGGCGCTGGACTTCTTTCCGAGCCTGCGTGGGCAGAAGAGGAAGCGGCTCCGAAGAAGAAGAAGGAACGACCGCCGCTGGGCTTGCTTGAGGAGAGTGCTTCAAATCCCATGACGGACCATCTGAGAGCCTCCGAGGCCTGAAACGCTGATTGCCGAGGGTTTGGAATCCAAAGCAATTCCTTTGAACGGCCGGGCGGGTCTGCTGTGCACTCTCCTTGAGGGCATCGTTCAGCTAAGAGCGATCGATGTAGGAACAGAGATTCGCAGGGCACGTCCACGCTCATCAGAGAGTGCAAGCAGCAATGTTCCAATGCCACCTGACCTGTGTTTCAGCCTCTGCCTCTGTTCTCCAGTGTTGGCATTGCTTCAGGGCGCTGGTCGATTGTCTTTGGGAAGAAGATCGCTGGAAAGACTGAACCTGAGCTTCGTGCTTTGCCTTGGCGGGTCGTGAGCCGTGCCTTTTCAGGCCCGTCTACAAGAAGGACGGAGAATCGCTCGGGCCCCAGCTTTTTGCCGTGCGTTCCCTTTGTTTTCATCCCCATCAGAGCCCCAAACCTAAGGTACTTTCTCATGACCAATGATTGCGGCCAGCTACAAATAGATACGGAAAAGAAGGCACGTTCATGTGCGACACAATCGAGCTGCGGGGATCCGAAGCTTTTCGCACCTTCCAACAAAGACAACCCTTCCAACAAAGAAAACTGAGGTTTGTAAACTGTACATAGATACACATGTTGTCGGGGTTGATGATATTGCATCATATTGACAGGAAGCTCTACACCAACATGCCTTTGGATCGAGGAATCCTCAACCATAGGCCATAGGCCCTAAACTTTAGACCTCTGCGATCGCTGTGTTGTTATAATTGCCAATGATTGCTGGTGCTGTTGTTGTTGTTGTTGCTGCTGCTGCTGCTGCTGCTGTTGAATTGCTTTGTTGCAACAGCTTGGCTTTCTTATCATGGAGGTGGTTTTTGCCGTGTTGGAGCAGTCGTTGCTGGTTGCTAGTGTTGGTCGTGCATTTCTGTACTCCTGTCACTGTTCGTCCTACACGTCGGACCACAAGCCATCACAGTCTACTGCGAGCCCAGGGCCCGGGATGAGGCTTCCTTGGGCCTTGTCATCATCATTCCTTTGACCAAGCAAGCAATCGACGAACCAGCTAGCAACTGATGGTTGCCTTGTCACTGTGCAATCTTCCACATGTTGCTACTACATACTACTGTTGCTGCTGCCATTCTTGTTGGCATGATCTGCTATTGGAGCCATACATGTTACCACACGTTTCCACGCCAGGCTACTTGTGACGGTTCCATCGGCATCCAGAAGGACGGTTTCTGATTCGACTGGCGTTTACGGTTTAGGTCTCCTCGGCCGCGGAGCCATAAGAACAGCAAGGGTGCGAAGGGGCCACCTCTCTGCACAAAGTCTCGCACGGAAGCGAGATGCGAGCTGAAAGATGGCTTGTAGGAGTCGGGCTGGGTCATTGATGGCAAGGCTGCCCCGAACTTCAAGGTGGGAGCACTTCGACACTGCAAGGATACTTGCATGGCTTGCGTGGTCGCCTGTGGCCTCTCGCCTGCGGGATGTAACACGTACTTGCGATCGTGATCCCAGAATCCCTGAACCTTCAAAGAACCACCGCTCAGCGTCCGGCTTGCAGCAGTTTCACCATCCACACCACAGAACGACACGGGATCCGAGAGATGCTGCGACAAAGCCTCAACTTTTGGGCTGGAGACCCCGAGGAGTGCACATGAAGCAAAGATACAGGCTCATTCTATGGTTAAGGAGCCTGATTCAGCAACTCCTGGTTGAACAAGCCCAGAGGTTTACGGTCTCTGTATGCCTGTTGTCAGGTCCGGCCCGAGACCAAGGAGGATGCCAACAAGAGTCAGGGCATCAGCGCGGCCCCGCGGCTCATTGCATACTAATTACTGCGGCTATGACTACCGCTACGGCTGCTACTGCTACGACCTACTACTACTACTACTACTACTACTACTACTACTACTACTACTACTGGTACTACTACTCCTGCTGCTTCTATCATGTGCTACCACTTCCACAGCTGAACTCCTGGCTAGTCTCGTCTGCCCTGCGAGTCCAAGCTGAATGAAATCGTGAACGAAGACCTGGCAAAGTTTGAGAGGCAGTCCTCAGTGTCGACGCTACTTGGATCGATCTTGGAAACAGTTTAGCTAATATATTATGGATATACAAACGGGTTTTTATAGAATAATCAAAGGTGTGTGTATATCTATACACACACACACACTCGCAGAAACATACATGTATGATTACTTTCTGCTTGGATCTACAAGTTTCCTCCTCTTGTGAAGGGCGTTGGACGCTCAAAGAGGGTCAAGCAGGGCTTAGCAAATTCATCTGAAAAAAGCTGCGCTTGACCTCGCAAATGAGCCAAAAGGAACCGAACCGAACGCACCCAGCCCAACGATCTTGGCGACAAGAATGGTTTTGAAAAATGGATTCGAACACAACGACGCTCCAGTTTGCCAGTTCGTGCCCTGAGTGCATTTGAGAAATTACCAGCATTTTGAAGCCCCCCCCCCCACACACACACACACATCCATGCATAAATCTCTGTGTTTCTGGCACTGATTGGTAAAGTACCCAAGGTTCCGAGGGACGATGGATGATGATGATGAGGCCTGGCGTGAAGTCTTGCTGGACATCGCTGCCTGCAGAGCTGAAGCAGCAAAGTGTTGTTCGAGCTCGAAGCCAGATGGGTAGTTGTCAAATTTATGGTCCCTTTTTGGGTCCTTATTATAATACGGCACCTATTATTTAGGGTACCCCAAAAGGGACCATAATTTTGACAACTACCCAGATGAATTGAGCTTCTATGATTGGCGCCAGGAATAGTTTCTGCATATGTGGAGCAGGAGCACGAGCATGTTCGAGTCAATCAGCAAGCAAGGAGTAGTCCAAGGAACTGCAGACAGCACCAAAGGCAACTAACTAGCTGGTTGCATCTATGCTGTCATGTCCGAACTCTAAACTTCTATAACACAGCGTTGCATTGACCGGCCATGGACATCAAAGCGCTCACCTCAGCACAGTTGGTGTATCTGTGATGGGTAGACATGCACTCATGCGGTGTAGAATCTGTGTAGCTGCAGGGAAAATGCTTGTACCGAGCTTGTCACAATCTAAGGTGCTGGAAGTAGATGACCTTCCGGCAGCTCTCCCAGATGATGGCAGAACCGTCCCTGATGTTGGCGATGCACGTGTGGGTGTGTGAGCTTGTTCTTCCCTGGCATGTGGCATATCATTCTCAAATTCAGATCAAGTGTTTTGAGGCAAACACCTTCTTGTCGCTTCGATATGGAGACACCCGAAAGCAGGTGGGCTCGTCCGCTCGATGAGGGACTGCAGGGTCTTTGGCTGGCCATTGATGAGGGGAAGCTGATAAGACTTCGAATGTTGCCCTCCTCCAACGGGGGTTGCTCTAGGTTAGGGTCCGCTTGAGGTTTCCTTACCCTGGTTGAATCTCTTTGGATCTGACTGTCTCGCAACGAACCCCCTACGTGCCAATGCAGGCCTCTAAAGCAGCACACCTGATCGAGACAGCAGCCTCTTCCTAGAACGCAGGCGCCGTTCCGCGCTGGGGAGTCCTTTGCCTTTCCGCCAAGTGGCAAGCAGCCAAAGGCCTTCACCGTGGACGTCTTCCAGAAGGTTCGCTAAATGCGGTGTTTGGGGTTTGGGGTTGTGCCCTTTAGGTCCCATGCAATGTGGGGAATATGGGGTATCATGTTTATACTACGACTGTTCGTGCCGGTCGTCTGCTCCATCCTCTCCACTTGCTAGCTCCGCCAGGTGGCATCTTCTCAGGTTAGCTTAGCAGGCATCTCTGCTCTCGGAGGAAGCTTGAACAATGTGGAGAGCCTTGCCCAGGAACATGGGGGCTTAAGGTTCGGGGTTGAGGGTTCAGGGGAACTTAACTTGGGAAGAATCAGAACAATTTCGCCGAAACGTTCTTCTTGATCAGGTGAAGGCTGCACCAAAACTCGGGACTCGAAACTCAAGGAGACT